GGGGACCGGCCGCGCCGCGGGTTCGCTGCGGCCGGGGTGCGCCGGACAGGGGTTTTCCCAAAAATGAGTCAAAACGGCCCAGAGCGAAAGTTCTCTGCCTTAACTGTGTGCTGTTCCTCTGCCACATGCGCGGTGTGGTCGCTTCACGTGTGTTTCAACTACCGCTGCTGGCGTTTCACGGCGCGGAGCCGTGGGTTGAATTTAGCGGCGAGTCGCAGAGATAAAGTGCGCTGAGTTAGTGTGGTAAAAGTGTGAGGGAGGAATTCTCCAACCAGTACTTTTCACGAAGTAGTAAAGTACCCGCATGTTACGCCTGGTGCATCCAAACGGAACAAGTCAGCTTCCCAGGTCATTTTAATATTATAAATCGTTCGTGGAGAAGTAAACTGAAAAGAAAACTATATATTGAGCTTTGGCAAACTTTGTATATAGGTTTTCCAAGTTTTCCTAATTTGCCCTGCTGTCAAATATCCCTTTCAAGTTGTTATTTGTATTCGCATGTTATGTTTCCCTGGTTTTGTAGATTTTGCAAATTCAGCATTTTTTCAGGGCGCTTAACCATCCTCTGGTTCCGTATTAAAGCCAGAGAATGCAGACCTGCTTGTAAACATAAAGAGAAAATAGCAAATGATGTTGTTAAATAGTACAGAGTTATAGAAAATACCCCCTGAGTACTTGTTTTTACATGGAGTTTTTGTTTAGGAGGGTATTTTCCTGTGATAGTGTTGTATATGAAACATACATATTTGCCCTGAGAAGTGAAAGTTTCTCTGAAGAAAAAAAAAAAAACCCTGGATATTAGCATATTTTTAATTCTTGCTGAGACCGGTTTTATATCTTTGTCCTTCACTTCCATGGATTTGCCAAGACTTGTGGTAAATTCTGTGAAGCTTGGAATATTTATGCTCACTGCCAGAGCTCCTATCCAGACCGAATTAATGACTGAATAAATCATACTGATTTTCCCTTTTCTTTTTTCATGCAACACGAGTTTTTCTGGTGTAATATGCTACATCTGGCACCTGAGTTGTTTCTCCAGTTTGTATGTGGGAAAAAAATTATTTTAGAACTAGTCAGTAAAGTTCCTTAGGTTTAATTCTTTTTAGCAAGCCCCCCTCCCAGCCCCATGACTGTAGTAGTGTTTCTAGTTGTTTTAATGTTTCTTGACCAAATTACAGGTCTGTTTCTGTGCACAGAGGAGGATGCCAGTGCTTTTAAAAACAAAATATGTCGCATCCTGTTAGGGAGTAATACAAACTTTGTTTCATGGGAACTTGATTGTGAATGCTTGCAGATGGATTTATTCAATGTGCATGTGGTTGCTACCAAAGCTTTTAAGTCGTATAAACTAGAAGACAAGTTCCAGTGTGCTGTATCAAAAAAACCCAAACCTCATTGTCTAAGAGATCAAGAGATCTTTATGCAAATATATAAAACATTGGTGCTTGACAGTTGCTGTTCCACATTGTGGTTTAGGTTCGTTACAGGTTGGCACTGCACTGAAGTTATGTCACACACCAGATGGTAAAAAATGGAGCTTCCTTCTGTATGCTAGATTTCCACTGAAGCCCTTTTTTGGCTGGGAATATTCCCCCATTGCCTGGGAATATACAGGTTATTTAGGAAGTTTGAGAGGATGAAGAATATAGTGGAAGTGTAGAGAAGACCAAAGAAATCTTTGTTGTAAAGAGAAGTTTAAATGCTTTTTTTGGGACATAATGGTCACGTCTGCTGAGATGGCATCAGTGCAGAGACGTGAAGGGATAGTTCAGTGCATGGGAGGCTGCTCCTCAGCAGCATTTTAGCTGTGTTTTCAGTTTTCTGCATAAGGTAAATCTGTATATCTTAGTGAGGTTGTGGAAAAGATACACTCGGAGGCAGAAAATTATTAAAACTCATAATAAATTAATAAATTCAGAGTATGTGGACAGTACACTCATTAAAATAATGTGTAAATGAGTGTGTCTGAATATCTTCCAAATGCAGATTGTTGAAAGGTTTGAATTAATGCCTGGAGAGAAGCAGCCTGTGATTTCACATTGGCACTTGTGAGTCCAGAGTTGTTCCTTCATCTCGGGTCATGTTTAGCTACAGCTCTGTGGACTGAACTGTCAAACCATCAAAAATAATCTTGTGGCTGTTAATAGCAGCCATAAAATCATTAACTAGTGCAGTTACCTTTGTGGGCATTTATGCTGCCAGCTGGTGTGAAGGAGCACTTCTGAGTCTCTTACCGCTGTGAGAGGTAACGTGCAATCTGAGGTAACCTGTAAGCACAAGAAATATCTGGGTTTTTTTCCCTCCTTTGTTCCTGCTACATCAGCTGGCTACCAAATTGAACTTGTGTTACTTTGGTAGCCAAGTGTGGGAAGATCCAAATGGCAACAGCTTGGCCAAGAATGGGAGACAGATTTTCGAAGCGAAAATAACATTAAGTGTAGTAAAGGCTGGTTTAAAAATGTGAATTATTAATAGTCTTGATTAAATAATAAACTTGGAAGTCTTACAGTAGGCTGTGTAGAACACTAACCTTAATCAGCTTTCTATTTGTAAGTAAATTGTGTTTTTTGTCTTTTAAAGGAAATTCGACATAAATCCAGTGACTACCCTCACAGAGTTGCAAAGTATCCAGAAAACAGAAATCGGAACAGATACAGAGATGTCAGTCCATGTAAGTATCTTTTCTGTAATTCTTGCAGTAAACTTTCTAGACTTTTCGGCTTACACAGTTTACTTTTAAACACTGTAGCTAATAAATGGGGGTCATTTTAGGTTTTGTATTTTATTTCTGTCAGCGTGTATCCTGGTTTTTGTAACACGTGCCAGTGTGTGTAATGGAAGGGAGAAGAGTCTGCCTGGTAAACTCACTGCTGAACAGTGACTGAGGAATGATGGCAAATCCTAATTATTAGTATATAGGTAAATATTTGTGAGCTGGAAAGTGATATTTGATAGATATTTTTCTCCAAAGGAAATGGTTTGTTTACTCTTGCTTTAGCTGTTATTAAAACAACAAACATCTGCTGAGCACAGAAATCAAGTTTATAAGCCTTGACTACCACAGATTCCTTTTGGGCTAAGTGATTTGCACATTTACAAGATTGTGAGGAGAAATGACACTCGATTTTGACTGTTGCTTTAAAAAATACTTGAGGCTTTATTATTATTGTCTGTTCAGAAGAATATATGCATGAAGTTGGTCTTTAATATCCTCCATGCAAGTAGTTATGGTATGGAGTGCTTTGTATTGTACTAACTGCTGTAAAATGGTCCTTGTGATGTAAGGATCTTGCACCTCAGGTGAAGACAGCTGGTTTTGTACTAGCTTCTGTGCTACTGAGGTGTTGTGGACTTCATTTCAACAGCATTTACTTAAGAAACTGTAATCCAAAATTGTTACAAGAGGATCTGTAAGCAAAAGATTACTAACGTGGCGGAATAGCTGGAGAAAACCATCATAAATCCCTTCCAAAAGGAGCAGGAAAACAATTGAGTACAACCCGAGTTTTTCTATGAGATGCTGAAGTTGGAACAGGTTAAATGTCTGTGCGTTCTTTCGTACCAGAGTTTCCCAGAGCACCAAGGGCTCTTTAAAAGCCTTTGTGTTGCTGGATCTAGAATTTCTGAAGGGTTGTTCATGTACTGGGGCTTTTTGTTTGCGAGCCTCATCTGAATATACCTCTGGTAGGATTTGGAGCAGTGCTGGGCTCCTCGTTTCCAGCTGAAAGGTGTGGTGAGAGTGTGTGCACAGCACTGCTCCAGTGACAGGGAAAGGGGCTCGGGGTGAGTCAGGCTGGTGAGGTTTGGGGAGCGCTGCTGTGGGTGCTCAGAGTGGGGCTGGGAGTCGAGCTCATGGCCTCTCTGCTGTGCCTGCTCCCCGGCGTGCTCTGCAGGGAAGTGCGCAGCTCTGAGAAGGTGCCTCAGGCTTGCTGACCTCCCCCAGGAGGGGGGAGGGCTTCTGCTGGGCCTGGGCTCCATGGGGAGGTACTTGCACGTCCCAGGTTGGCTGTCCTGTTCCACCACAGCGTTAGCATCCTTCTGGTGGTAAAGCAGATCATGCTTTATTCACTTGCTGTTTCATACCTAAATTGGGATGGGGGCTGTAAGAAGAGAAGGCAGGAAATTGGATTTGAACCCACGAGACCCAAGTTCTATTCCTGGGTTAAACATCCTGTAAAAGCAGCTCTATTCATGATTCACCATTTCTCCCATCTATGGATTTCATTTCTTAGGCACTACTGCAAAGAGAGTGGCACCTTACCTTCAATGTACCTGTGGGTTTCTTTTTTTTTTTTTTAAAGATTATTTCTAAAATAAACAAACAGACATGATGTTATTTAAGCAGCATCTAATAATTTCTGCGATAATATTTTAGAGGTGTGACTTGGACTTGTCTCCTGTAGTTTTTTTGGAGCTCAGAATTTTCCTTAATCATGCCATGTCTTTTACAGTAGTTGAAGAGCACCAGACACCTCTGCCTTGGTCACGGCAAAGCCTGCTTCTGAAATGCTCAGCTAGCCAGCAGCAAATGAATTATGTGGTTGTATTAATCCCTGGACTCTGTGCAAGAGCAGAGAGACAGATAAAATCTAGTCTTGGAGTAGTAGTTGGTCTCAGGGAAGGGTTAGAGTCATTACATGCTGGTTGACACAAAGTGTAACATGATGACTGAACTAAGATGGTGACCCTTGAGGCACGTCTTAATTTTTAGTGTTTATAAAAGAAGGAAGGTTTGAACTGGGCCACCAAGACAGCCTCCAGAACTGGGCACTAGGAGAGAGGCTGCATGAGGAGAACAGAGCAAAACGTGTTTGAACTAGTGCCTGTTGAATTTGTCATCTGTGTGGTTTCAAACACAAGTCATAATTGTTTCTGATGGTGAGAGTCAGGAGGAGAAAGAGACCTGGAAGGGAATGTCATTCCAAGGTAGCAGTACCTAAATTCCAGAGCAGCTGGGGTAAAAGCTGTGCAGTTCAGTAGCTGTGGTGAATGCCTGGGATCATGGTGCAGCAATGCAGAATGAGCATGGTTTTATTTCTCCATAGCAGTGAGAAATTGGTTTATTAATCTAGACAGCAGCCAAGCCTGTCTTAAAATCTGAGGTGGTATGTCTGTCAGGGGAAAGGCAAAGATTATTCTGTCTTATGGAAGAGGTGGTGTTTGTAAGTGCATGAAAAAAGGCTTTGTGTTGGTTTGCCCCATTTCAACCACAACATGCAGGACAGGTACATGGAAACCAGTTTGTGTCCATTTCATACATTTCTAAGCAAAAGTTGATTTTTGTTAGCTAGGAAAGGCTGTTACTCTTTGCTCCCCCCCACATTGTCTCCAGTTTCATAAATGTTTTTGTTAGTCTCCAGTTCTGTTGGCTAAAGAGCTACGGTGTGTATAAGTTCGGTTGGGTAAAAGCCCTCAAGAGTTATTGCCTAGCCAAAAAAAATAGCAATCTAGCAGTTGGGTATTAGTCTAGAACAGGGAGAGGAATATTCTGGCTATGTAGTGCTATTGAAACAGGAAGTTAAATCTGAAATAGGTTTGGTTTGACAGCCAGTCATTTCCTGACAGCTGAAACCATTTCTCAGAAAACATTGTTAGGAGAGGAAAATAACTCGTGAGGTTATTATTCTGCATTGATAACTCTAATGAAACTCTGTTAATATTTTCCTTCTAAGTCGTAACCTTAGTTGGTATCAGAGGAGTATAGTGTCTCAGATTGACTGTAAACACCTTTAGAGATCTGCTTACTGTGTTCCCAGATTTAGAGGCAAGAAGGAAATCCCCCTTGGCAAAATTGGGAGGACTTTTTTTTTTGTGCCTTTGGAGGGTAGATGGGGGTTTACACAGTTTTATCTTCAGCCTTACCTTGCAATGTGGTGTGTAGCTCAGTATCTTGGATCATCTAGGACGTTTTTGTTTTGCTTGATAGTTCACGTTGCTGTTGGAGGATCTTGAGAGGTTGTGATTTCGTGTTTTCTTTGTGTGGCTGTTAGTAGACTGTGTTGGACCTTTCAGCTGTTGGCTTACAGCTGTTAGAGAGCGTGTCCCAGGGAGAGAGGGACGTGAGGAGTATTGTGCTTTGCAGGGAACAGAGCTGGAGCTGATGTGGGTGGTTTTGCACATAGTGCTGATTAATGACCATTGCAAAATGTTCCCTTTCTGTCCTGTGTTTTGAGTCTGTGTGCTGAGAGCAGGGACGTGTTCTGTCCAACATGAGCCTTCTGCTTGTCCCAACTGGAAGCTGACACTGATGGTTTTTGTGATGTTATCTAACCATCCACCTTGTTACCAGAAACATGATACAAATAAACTCAGCTGCTGCTTTTGGAGATCTGGCATGGTTGATAGGGTGGCATTGATTGCCTACAACCAATGGCAGGGTGGGGAAGAGGCACTTTGCCTTTCCTTTGCCTTAGGCTACCTCTGGAACTTGAGACTGTGAGTCTAGTGACAAAGTAATTGGAATAATTTAGCAGCTCAGATAGATTAGGCTTAGATTAGTGAAATGAAGGGGACAGGGTCAGGGTGGGTCACTGGCATGGCTTATGGCTGCATGTTTTATTTATGACTTTCTTCAGTCCCCTGAGTAGCATTTTGCCCTCCTTTGTTGTTAATAGCTCTGTATTTGGGGCGACAGATCTCTTGGAGAAAAGATAATTTTTAAGTTACAGAGTGGTTTCACTTCTAGAAAAGCAGTTGTCAAATAAACCCTTTCATGAGCTGACTGCAAGAACTGGATGTAAAATGCCAGGTGCTTCACATCGCTTCTAACTGGATGTGTCATTTTCTTTTTAGCAGAGAGTGGGCAAATTGGTGTGTGATGTGAAGTCTTGGCCTTGTTTGGGATACGGGGGGCATTGTCAGTGGTATCAGTGGGGCAGGGTTCAGCTTGAAGTGGGTAATAAGAGTTTGCTTGGACAGGGTCCTTCTGGGGGTAGTTTTCTTCATGCAGGAGCCAGAATGAGAAGCACTTTTACGGTTTCCACTTCCTTTTCAGGCTGCATATTTTGTTGAAATAGGGGAATTAGCACTTCAGAAAACAAGTACTAGATTTGAGCTGTTGTGGGTATGGGAACATTTTAAGATAAGGTTTAAGATAGGTTTATCATTCATATAAATCTCAAGTGCTTTGTAACTGGAAATGATTTACAGAGGGGAAATAAGTTACAGCTAGCTCCCTGTCAGAAGTTGGCTTGCTTTATCTAATTCAGAAGAGCAAGCCAGGGCTTGAATGAGGTTTCTAGGTCAGCACATCCTTTAGGAACATGTTGCCTTGAAAGGAGGAAATCAATGTATTCTAGTGGCTTTCTTTGTCCCATGCAGTGTCTGCCAGTGTATCTGCGGGATCACCTCTCTTTCTGTTGGGGAGGAGGGGAGAGGCTGGCTGTGCCTAGACTCCCTTGTTAAAGGGGCTTCTAAAAACCTCTCTGGATTTTAGCTGTCACGTTTACGAAGCAGAATTTATCAGAAGGAAAAAAGGCTGAAAAGAGTGTGTGAGGATGAGGGTGGGAATCCTGGCTGGGGCCTCGGCAGCTGTGTGCCGGCGGCAGCGGAGCAGCGGCCGCTGCCGGGTGATCAAAGGGTTAAGAGCGGCTGCTGACGTCACCCTTCCCAGAACACTAGTACCGGTATGTGTGATTTACTATAACAAGATCTGAAGTTTTTCCTGTTGGCAAATGACATGTAATATTTACAAAGGTCTTGGTTTCTCTCCAGGAGAAACATTTCAGATAAAGTGATACATGAAAGGAAAAAAATAACACTTTCCTCGCCAGATGGAATAATGCAAGGGGAGATATTTTACTTTAAAATGGGTCTGAATTTTACTGTTTCTTGGCTCAATGTGGGTTTTTTTTCCTTATACAGATGTATCATAAATTGTTCTAAGGCTTCTGAAAGTCAAGGCAGTGTTGCCTTACAGCTGGAATGATAATGAGAACAGACTAAACCAGTACCTTTCTCATACTTCTGTATTAAAAATAGGGTTTTGGCATATTTCTGTTCTCTGCACATTTGTATGTGACTGCATATAAAAGCTAGCAGCTCAAGGAGATAGAATAACACCCCAAATCCCAGTCCTTCACAAAAACCAAAACTGTAGTAGTCATTTACTATTGACTTCTTTCCTTGAATACAGCAAGATAGTCTCTGAGAGTTGCTAATAGATGAGGGAGAGTATAAAAGACCTAGTAAATGCATTTTTCCCAGGTATTCAGGCATACAGAAAGTATTTGTAACATTGTATAAGCAGTCCGTAGAACAAGAGTCTAATTTAATAACTATTTTTTAATTCCTATAGGCTTTTTGCCTGTCTGTGGCCATACTAATGGGTTTCTTGGATAAGCCTCATGCTGTATAGACTGGCTGGGATCTAGGGACTTATAATCTGAGTTGAGCTATCAGAGCTATGCTGGGTATGATACTGAGTAGTTGCTTGTGTCAAAACTCATGGCTTTTGTGCATTTCTCAAGCTATTTGTCAAAAGGAAGTTTGCATTTTGCTGTGGGGATGTGTCATGGTTTAGGGGCAGACCTATGTTCTGTTAACCCCTCTGCCTGCCCAAAGGGGATGAGAAAGGGAATAAGGGAGAGAGATGTATGGGCTGGAAAAGAAAACTAGAACAGCTTTAATGAAAATAAGAATAAAATGGAGTATGTACAAACAGATACAAAACTAGCACTGGTGCTGTGGGCAGGCACTGGGGAAGTCCCAGGCTGGACTTAGTGGCAGATGGGAACTGGATTCAGGAGTTGGATTCAGGAACACATGGATCAGGGTCAAAGGCAGAACAGACAGGGTCCTCCTTGGATGCTGGCCATTGAAGAAGAGGCTTGACCATTGAGATCCCTCAGCTGTTTACTGACTATGATGTAGATGGGATGGAATCACCCACTGCTCAGTTTGGGGTCACCTCTGCTGGCTGCTCCTCCCCACAAGTGCCACCTCTTACTTTGTGCACCCCAATGTGAGGCACAAGATTTCACAGTGACCTTGTTCTGCCCAGGATCAGTGATGAGCAAGAGCCTTTGTGGGCACCCCAGCCCTTGGCAATGACTCTACACGTGGAGCCTTGTCACTGCTGGCAGCAGAGACTGCCTGTGAAAATCTGCTGTTACCTTCAGACAGTGCCCTGGCCTGGGAGGGACTGAGCTGGGAAGGGAAATCACTGAACAGAGTCGGCTCTGGTCTGACCCAAACCAGGACAGGATGGGAGAAGAAGTGATCTGACAGTTTAACAGAGGCCGTGCCATCAGTCTGCACCCCAAATGAGTTTTAAGGCTTGGACCAGATGGATGTAGGTTGTTTGCTTTTTTTTAAATGACATTGCACTGTAATTCCCTCTTGGCTCTGTCGCTTTCTTCATGGAATCTCTTCCATCTCTTCCTGAAATGTGTTGAAGTCTCTTAAATCCATTTTAGTTTGCTATTTTTATTTACTCTTCTCATAAACAGTCTGTCTAGGCAGTTGAGCTTCAGGGGCTTTGCAGTCAGTTGGGTCTCATTTCCTGGCAGGCAGTTGTGTACAAATTTTAAACTAAAAATGCTGTTTATTTGATACAGTCCTAATAAATGGCTGAAGGATTACTTTCTGGGAACAAATCTGACTCCTTAAATGTCTCCTAGAGGGTGATAAATCGGATACTAAAAGTTTCTAGGAAGAGCAATGATGACTTTTCATTATGCAGTACTTCAGCATGACAGTCTGATAATCTTTCTGATATTAATGTGAGAATCTTAAATGGAGTCCTTTGCTTACCTCTTCCATAAAGAGGGGAATCTTTTGTCTTGCCTTGCCCCTGTAACCAGAGAGACCAAAACTGGTGTAATTAGATTAGGCTTTGTTTAATTGGAAGGGTTGTTAAATAGGTACATTTTTGAATGTGCTCCTTCTTTAGTATTTTTAGTTTGTATAGTATTAAGAAATTAGAGGGGAAAATTAAATGGATCAAAGCTTTGTTTGAATTATTGCAAGTAGATGATTTATTTTTTTTCCTTGCTATGTGAGTTTAACTTTATGAGTCTACTTCAACTTTGAGTTGGAATTTCAGTTCACCAAAAAAATCTTGGAAATCTGAAGTGAAAGGAAACGATGCAGTGGAGTGATCTGGTGTGACAGGACAGAGTGCTGCCTGGTGTGGGTTGTGGTGCTGTGCATTAAGGAAATGCAACTGTTGAGGGGTGACTGAGCATCTTCTGGCATGTGTGGGAGGGTTGTTTTGTTTGGTTTTTAAAGAAAACGGGGTCTTCCATTTTTCTGAGCAGCTTCTATTAATAGCTGCCTGAAATTACTCTGATGGAGTGGTGAGGGGAGAGTGAGGCAGTTACCAAAGTCACATGAGAAATGAGTTTCACATATATTTGTAGCTTGCCCTTTAGTTAGTACTGCAGAATTTGTCAGACCTAAACTTGCCCATTAGAGAGTATTCATCAAGATGGGTGCCTCATTAGTCCTTAATTTTCTTTGAATTTTAGATGATCACAGCCGTGTGAAACTGCAGAACACTGAGAATGACTACATCAATGCCAGCCTGGTGGTCATTGAAGAAGCCCAGAGATACTATATTTTAACACAGGTAAGTAAAAACAGCTGAGTGGGTGGTTACAGGGACTGAGGATCTGGGGGGAGGGGATTTGTACAGTTGTATTTGGAAGTTTCCTTGTCTCTCTGAATTACATATATCTCATATTAACTGTCCATTTGATCTAGTTGTGAACACGTGATTTTATATTTTATGGAAAAAGCTAGAGGTAGTATCTAAGTGTGAATACTTCACTGCACATAAAGCTTTTCAGTAATTTCTTGCTCTTCAGTCCTGTTGGAAGTAGGTTGCAACAATACTTTTCATCCTTATTCCATCTTGTGCCTTCTGAGAGTGCTTGCAGCAGCTCTTCTAAAAGCACAATAATACTGGTGCTCAGCTGAAACATCACTCCCCTGAGTTCTTACTGTTTTGTTGTCTGTTTGGGGCTTTTGTTAAAAAAAACCCAAGCACCTTTTAAGTCCTGGCATGCTCTCTGCAGTGTGATTACTTTCTTGCCTGTCACTTCTGTCATTAAGTTAATAATTTATTTAAACTTTTCAGAGGAAGAACTTTCCTTTTTTCACACAGTGAACGATGAGCTGTATTCAAACACTGCTTTGCCTGTACCTTCTCACACACATTTTTTTTTTTTTTCCTTTACTACACAGGGTCCACTACCTAATACATGTTGTCATTTTTGGCTAATGGTATGGCAACAACAAACCAAAGCAGTTGTCATGCTGAACAGAATTGTCGAAAAAGACTCGGTAAGTAATACTAGGCCTAAAGATTTTTAGTGAGCCACATAATTTTAATACAGTTGAATAATGTTTGGTTATTATGTTAAAAGAACTAATGTTCTTTCTCACTGGTGTACAGCACGACATGTTTTTAATATAACATTGAAGTGATGTTGCTAAGACACAAAATTCAGTTTGGTGGAAACAGTATCTAATAAATACACATCCAGAAGGGTGAAAATAACATCCTGAGGAAAGAGGATGTACAGATGGAAATAAGATGGAGTAGAAGTAGTGTAAGATGGGAGAAGGTGGGGAAAAAAGTTTGAATTGGGTATCTTTAGATTATCTTTCTTCTAAAAGTAACAGGGGAGTATATTTGTTATGTAGTGGTGTTAACTGTAACAATAAAGACAAGCTGCTGCCCAGCAACTGTCAAACTGATCTGGGTATTTTTGATTCTTTGCCAGCTGGTGGTATAGGTGCAGAATACACAAATCTTCTGTTACAATGTAGTTTTTCTGTTAAGGTGCCTAAAACCACTGTGGATTTCAGTTATAAATGCGTGTCGTTTGAGGTTTATGGTTTTTCTTCAGAGTAGATTTGTTAGTGAAAAAGATTTGACTAGTCTATTAAAAGGTCACTTATTTTCTTATGCAAAAATTTTCCTGCAGAAAGTTTGAGTGTGGGGCAAGAGGAATAAAGGACAAGGGACAGTTTTACATTGCTTTGTTAGTTCATGCTTTTGTTTTACTAGAATCTTCCGGGATTCAGGAAGCCTTGGGAAAACTGGATGTGTTACATCACTTATGTAAATGTGTGGGTGTGCATGTCAGAAGTGGAGGGAGGGGGAGAAAATGTTCTTGAAATAGCTGAGTGAAGGTCTCTGCTCACTGTAGAGAACTGGAGGGGGGAGAGGGAGAAGGGGTAAGGTACATCTCAAAACATGCAGCAGCCCTGCCATGAAAGAAAGAGCAAACAGATGAAGCTGGAACGTGTAACAGCCCTTGACACAGCTCTGTAGTAACTTGGCTGCAAACACAATGGACTGAGACAATTCCTCAGTATGGGAGCAGCTACTTGAGTTTATTGTGTTGAATTAATGGGTCTCAGCGTCTGCTGATACACGGTATCAAGGTACCAGGATATTTAACCAGATGTTTCTTTTCTTCTTTTTTTTCCCCCTCCTTTTTTTTTTCCAAAACACCAATCAGGTGAAGTGTGCACAGTACTGGCCAACGACAGAAGAGGAGGTTATGACATTCAGTGAAACAGGTTTCCGTGTGAGGCTGGTATCCGAAGACGTCAAATCCTATTACACTGTACATCTCCTGCAGTTAGAAAATATCAATGTAAGCCTTGCTCAGCCTGTGTAGCTCATAGCCCTGGCCTTAAGTATGCCATGAAAAGTGTTCATATTGCCACTGCAGGTTCCGTTGAGCCTTCACACTGAAAATTTTAATGTGCTTTGCTTCTGATAGTGTTGAAGATGTATGCGTGGCATATAAGGGAGTTAGACCTGGAGTAATCTATATTGTAACATAAATGCTGAAGCTGTTACATGTTTAATTTATGTACTTCTGTTCTCCGTTTGGGAGTAGCTGCATTGGAACTGATGGTAGTGGTGATGCTAAGAGGAGCTGTAAGAAATACTCTAAAAGGAAGAACCTAGGAGCTGGAAATTCTGATTTCTTTTGAATATCAGAGATAAGACTCAGTAGTGATCTGGTTTTCTTAGTGGAACTTTAGTTTTCTGTGTAATTCAGTCCAACTGTTTGCATTGTTAGGGTAAGAGGTGATTACCACCCGTAAATAGGTAACTTTATCTCCTCTTGCTTACCTCCCCTTTTGCTTCACAGGACCAACCATCCTTTTCTCTTAAAAATTAAGCACTTTGACAATTTAATCGAGTTAAGCTCAAAAAAATGGTTCCTGGCCTGAGCTTGGGTTGGGATTTGCTGCTTCTGTTTCAGAGCTGAAGACAGGATTGAAGAGCTTGTCTGTTTGTTCCAGCTATGTCTTGTAAGATATTCTTTCTCCCTATAAACCTTGCCCTATATTAATTGGAAGTGCTAGGATGGCAAGTTTTATTCAAGGTTGTCTTGTCAGTGGATTTGGGAAAGGAAAGCTTGAAGGTGTTCCTTTGCATGTTGTTTTATACAACTAACTGTTGCTATATTTCATCAAAATTATTTGAATTTATAGTAGCTATTAATGGTAGCTAATGTTTGTTAATTTGACACCTCCCTCACGAGATCAATGTGATAAAACTTGGCGTGTTGTTCCTTGGTCTGTTCAGTGTAAGAGGAGCTTTATGAAAAGTCTGTCCTACTGACCTGAAGAGGTTCTGTTCAGTTGTTTATTGACAGCAAAGGCAAAGAAAAGAGGAGTTGTGCTTGGAAGCTAGTGCCCAAGAGAGAATAACTCTACTTTTTGGAAAGCTGAGGCAAGTTTTCCAAAGTACCGAGAAGTCTTGGTGGTGGAATTATGTGGCTGATGCTGGCCCCTAATCTTAAACTTCCTGTTTTCGAAGGATGCCATTTTCATGACTTGTGTTTCTGGACATAACATTAGCTTGAAGATTCAGAAATCCCACGAGGAGCAGCACAATGTATACTATGGTAGTGTAGGAGTTGCAGCTATTGAGCAGTTAACATTTCTGGGTCTGCTTTGGGCAGGTAATGCAGGCCCACCAGTGCTCTACAGAGCTTCTTGTGTGCCACAGATCAGTTCCACAATATTTAACTAACCTACAGCATTGCATTTTTATTGTACTGCTCTGGTGCTCCTATAAGGCCCCACAAATATTAATTTCAAAGAGTATTTTTTTTTTGTATAAACCAGCCAGAACATACTTGGTTACTCAGAGAAACTATATAGTTTCTAGAATAACGCCACTAATGTGAAGGGCAGCCTTCTGTAAGAATTTAGTAATTATACCATAAAACTTGTGGGAACTGAGTGTTCACAGTAACTTGAAATGTGAGCTCAGCCATGTTTATACAAGGTCCTCTGCAGGGGGCTTTGGTGGAGGCAGAGCAGTAAGACATTTAGCCACTTGACGCCTGGAATATAAGATGACTCACAAACAAAATACACTCTGAATTCCAAGAATACTTAAGAAATGTTAGTATTTCCTTGAAAACAGAGAGAACTAGAATTTTTATAATGCAACCATTCTGAACTGAAGTAAATCTGTCTTACTGCAACAAAAATCTCTCAATATTAGAAAAAACAATGTATGAAGAGTAAAGTGCTTGTTTAATGTTGTCAGTGAAACAACCTCTGAATATTTGGTTGGTTTTGTTGTTGGCAATTTTGTGTTGTTAAGGAGCAGTTAGAAGTGCAGGTGGGGTTTGCGGGGCAATATTGTTTTTTTAGGATGAAATCATGACATTTGGCAGTTTGATATGTTTATATCTTTTGTAGGGAGACGTTTGGTTTTGCTGTTGCTGCTGGTGTAGTCCAATAAAGCTTTGGGGAAGAGATGGTGTTCATGGGTAGCTTTCCAAAAGTTCTGAAAATATTTCTAGTGTACTTTGTCTTGCTGGTGATAATTGTGGAATTTCCTTGTTTTTCACATGACCCAGCTGGTATTTTAAGATATAGGAACTGGAAGCTACCTCTCCACCGTGGTTCATTGTGTCCTCCCATCTTTTGCTGGTGTCAATGGTCAGCTCTTCTGAAAGCTGGCTGCTGCTTTCTGCTGTTGTTGCTGAGGTCCAGAACCCTCCTTGAGGAAGGACTGACTGTGAAGGCTCCCACAAACCCTTGCCCCTGTTGAAAAACAAGGGTAGAAGGGAAATACTGCACTCATGTTAAAAATTTGTAATCATTTACATGAGAAGCTGATGTGTGGCTGGGATTTGCATCAGTCCCCCAGCATATTGAAGTGATTGTTAGGTGTTTCTGAGAGTCTTGTTAAATCTGTAAAACAGCCTTACAGGATGGGGTTGTGAAGTCTTGTGACAATGTGGGAGAAATATTAGCTACTGACAGCTGACTTCTGGGAGACTCCAGCTTGTGTTGAATATGTATTTTTATATTGTCCTCTATTGCTGCTTCTAGCTTCTCTTGTTGCAAGTGTACTTACTGGTCTTTAGCAAAATAAAACTTTAGTTTTCAGGAATTTCTGGTGTGGCAACCCAGGTAGCCTGGAGAGAGACATGGCATGACACATGGTGAATGCTTTCTAGTGAAACCCCACTGTGCTGGTACTGGGGAATTCCAGGAGGCCACAGGAGCACAAATGAGCATCAGTACTTCAGGGAAACCAGGGACTGACTGGGTGAGGAAATGGAGCTGTGCAAAGGAATTGAAGTTTCTGGAGTAGCCTTGATGGATGTCCCTCAGACTGGGTTCCTAGAAATAAGAACAAAGCAACCGAAGGAGAGGTTTGCAAAGGAAATATTTGCTGGAGGAAAAGGGATTAGAAGAAATGAACTGGATGTGGTGGGAAATGAATGGTATGATACTTTAGAGTAAGGATCATTAATAAACCCCAAGTGGCATCTTGAGTCCTCTGCAAATATCAAGTATTTGGAAAAATCCATGAGCAAAATGGATTCTCAACTTAGTACCAAGCCTTCTTGGCCACCTGGGCACACTGCTGGCTCCTGTGCAGTCGGCTGGCCACCAGCACCTGCAGGTCCTTTTCTGTCAGGGCTATAGGTGTATTTGATGCCTTCATACGTTAGACCATTGCAGTAGCCCTTAAACTATGAAATGAAGTGTGAATATAAGGAGTGTGAAGTTTGACAGGCCAGCATTTTTCCATCTTCACCTGTTTGACTGGACACTGGAGCATTTTGGTTGTACTTGCTAACAATGTTCATGCTCTTACAACAACTTGACCAACCTCAAGTTGTTGTAAGAACTGTGTGGTCAGTGGAGAGCTGGGCAGTGTGGTGGGAACTCTCAGAGCTGGTCCAGGTCAGCTGCGTTGGTTACTTACCGAAAGCTTATCCCAGTAGTTCATGAAACTTTAGTGGTTTTGCTTATTTTCTTGAAAAGCTGTTTAAATGTTGTCCCATGATTCTTCAAGGATTTTTAATATTATTTTTTTGGTAGCTAGTCTTAGGGAATAAATCTTGGAGGAGTATATTGTGGTTACCACAGAACAAGCTGGTTTTCAGTTGCCGTGCAGAAATGTGTTCCCTGTGTGTGATGTACATGAAGTTTTATGTTGCTGCATGAGTCTTAAAGTCTAGCTTTTTTCTTTAAAAGAATATCTAGTTTCCTGATAACTTTTTAAGTAAAATTAGTTGCTTTTTAAAATTGAATTGGTGGGGCATTGGCCCAGGCTGCCCAGGGAGGTGGCGGAGTCACCATCCCTGGCGGGGTTCAAAAAATGTGTGGACGTGAGACTTCGGAACATGATTTAGTGGTGATGGTAGTGTTGGGTGATGGCTGGATTTGATGATCTTAGAGGTTGTTTCCAATGGTAATGATTCTGTGAATTTGTGTCCATCAGCAGCTGTGAGCCTTTAGCAAGCCAAACCCTTTCTCAGTATGTTCTGCATCACTTCTCGTAAGCGATAGCTGTGGTACGTGGCTCAGTGACAGGGGAGCTCTTTAACAGAGGGTGCTACAGATTTTCACACAAAGGCAGTATTTCAGCTGTGCGGCTCGACTGCCAAGCACCACTTGAAAGAGCCATTCTGTTCAAGAGAGAAAACGTGGGAGGTTTGAAATGTTCAGATGGGATTTGGCTGTACGATCAGAAACGACGAGTTCAAAGAGGACCAGCCAGTTCCGGGGCACTGAAATGGGACTCGTGAGGAGAGGTGAAGAGTCAGGGTGCCTTTTGAAAAAGAGCTGAAGTGGTGAGCAGTTGTGGGATGGATAAAAGCCTTTGTACAGTACAGGGAGGCAGAAAAAAAGTAATGGTGTGGGGTGGAGCTGGAGGAGATGTACTGCAGCACTGTGAGATCTCCCCCTCAGAAATCCCTGTTTCCAGGTCAGTGTGTGAGCAGGGTGACACTTGCCTGTGACCCTGAAGCACTACTGGGTTGGGTTTTTTAGGAGGATGCAAGTGCTTGGTAGAGTATGGGATTTAACAAACAAACCACAGATCACCTGTGTTTTCTATAGATAAGGGCAATTCTGATTCTTGAGGTAATGGGGAAAGCTTTCATCTGCAACCACTGTGTAAGGATCTGGAGGGGGAGAGGATCAATTGCCACTTCAAAGGGTCCTCAAGATTCACAAGCAACAACTTGAACCTTTGCCTTGCCTAGTGTGTGCATTTAGCTCACCTCTATAGTTTTCCCCTTAATTTTGTTTGAAAAGTGATGTATTATTTTTCTTAGAGGAAATTGCTTGAGAGTTGTCATCTTTAAAATTCAATCGTTTCCAGATTTCTTATGAAAAGTGTTTCTCCTTCATGATTTTTAAACAAATAGGTCATTTCAGTTGACTAGTGAGTTAAGTTGCTAGCTGAAATGCTTAAATACAGGAGAGCAGGAAGAGGATCTCAGCTGAAAATGCAAACTCCCTTTTAATGTTTTGCTTCAGACAAACAAGAAGGGGAAATCCCAGTGCATTTATACAATTTAGGCCTTGGTAGGTTTTGATTTTTCTTCTCCCCCTACACTGAAATCTTACTATTTGCTCATTTTTCCAGTATGATGGATCAGTCGTTGTCCTCACTGAGCTCTTTGCCAAAACACAAAATATTCTTGGAATATAACTGAACATTTGAGAGTGGCTTGAGTCACATTGGTATCCCCTGTTTTCTGTGGAAGAGTTGGCAGCCCTGCAGTGTCATGCTAGGGACAAAATGGGACAGTGGTTTTGTTCCAGTGCAACCTTGAACTGGATTATTTTAGTTTCTCTAAGAAGTTTCCGAAGTGCTCCCTCCTAAGAAGTTGGAACAGATTGAGCAGGAGGCAAACAATAGAATTTACTTGAATTTCATAGCTATATTTTACTGTTGCTGAAAAAGAAAAACAGCTTTTCTGGAATACATTGATATTTTAAATCTTGTTGTGTTCCAGCATTGTGGAGGTTTATGTGGGTTTCAATCAATGTGGAAAATAAGATGAAATAGCAGGAGGATAAAAATAACTGAATCTTTATAAAATTCCTGACCTAAATCAGTGATCAAGTTGTCTCAAAACCACTGTGGCAAGGAGCAACTTTTAACAGCAGGTCTGAAGTGAGTTCCTTAAACATACCATCAAAATTTGGCATCAGGGCTGTTCAGATCTATGTGTTCTGTACTCTCTTGCTGCTGTTGAAACACTTAAAAGTTGGTTGTGTTAAGAGGGGAGCTGCAGGGTTCTAAACCAACTGCGTGGGTTTGGAAACTTCCTTTTTTTGCTTATGGAACGAGTGTGTCCAGCAAAAGCTTTGCTAGATGTCCTGCTGTGTGGCTTCTTGAAGGCCTTTTCCACAGAGCTGCTGCTCCCCTCAGTGTGGCTAGTACAAAGGAGGGGCTAGTGCCTCTTGCTGTTACAACTGGCTCTGAGCAGGCGTGGGGAGCGTTCAGAGTGCTGGTGGGTATGGTTTTTGGGTCATACTAATGCAAGCAGTCCACTGCTGTTGGCCATTAAGCTGCATTAATGATAGAAAAAGAATCTTTGGGAGCGAGTAGCAAAGCAAACCAAATGTAACAGTGGTAGTTTGAGAAGAAGGAAGAAAGGTGTGTGGTAATAATGACACAGGGCAGAGCAGCAGCTCGGGTGACAGGCTGCTGTGGGCTGCCCTGGTGGTGCCATGCAGGCCGAAGCGGGCGCCGGGCCGCTGCGAGGGGAGGCGTGGAGCAGAGAGCAGCCCTGGGCGCTGGCTGGGCGCAGGCAGGACGCCGCCCAGCTGCCCGCTTTGTCTCCCCCGCAGAGCGGCGAGTCCAGGATGATCTCTCACTTCCACTACACCACGTGGCCAGACTTCGGGGTCCCCGAGTCCCCCGCCTCCTTCCTGAACTTCCTCTTCAAGGTGCGGGAGTCGGGCTGGCTGAGCCCCGAGCACGGCCCCGCCGTGGTGCACTGCAGCGCCGGCATCGGCCGCTCCGGCACCTTCTCCCTGGTGGACACCTGCCTGGTCCTGGTAAGTCCTTGGTCCTCCCCTGCCACCCCTCTCCCTGCCCAGCACAGGCTTTTGGGTCAGAAAGCTTTAAAAGCAGTTGAATCAGTGAAAACTTCAATTAAGATGTCTTTTTATTTTTTTTTTTCCTTCACATATTTCAATGCTTTTAAACAAAGAGCTCTTAAAATAGATTTACAAATCAGTCTTGAAGTACTTTATATATTTTCAGAGCTTCCTTGAAAGGCTGGACTAGATGGTCCTTGATATCAACCTGATACCTTCCAACCTGATACCTTACAGTTCTGTGATTCTGTGATGGGTCCTCCCCTGCCACCCCTCTCCCTGCCCAGCACGGGCTTTTGGGTCAGAAAGCTTTAAAAGCAGTTAAATTGGTGGCATTCCAGTGAAAACTTCAATTAAGATGTCTTTTTATTTTTTTCCTTCACATATTTCAATGCTTTTAAACAAAGAGCTCTTAAAATAGATTTACAAATCAGTCTTGAAGTACTTTATGTATTTTCAGAGCTTCCTTGAAAGGCTGGACTACATGGTCCTTGATATCCCTTCCAACCTGATACCCTGTAGTTCTGTGATTCTGTGATGATTCTGGAAAGTAAATAGTAAGCAGTCTTCTCCTTTTATGGGAGATAGGCTTAGAAAAGATTGACTTTTTTTTCAACATGAGCTTAAAGTTGTGGATATATATTGAGACATATCTAAAATTTTAAGACTTGATAGTAGGGTACTGCTTTATTTGGTTAACACATGGTCATTGATTTGTTCAGAATAAGCTTTCATTAGATGGTTAACTTTTTTCCTGTAAAAACAACTTGGAAATCATTTGAGATGTTAATTTTGTATGCAACTAATGGAAACATAATATGAAGGAGCTAGTTTTTAGATGGAATTTTGACTCATTTTAGTTGTAATTATTTTTTATACGTTGCCTGTCTTCATCAGTAGCAATGACTCTTTTGATGTGACTTTCTTGACAGATGGAGAAAAAAGACCCATTTTCTGTAGATATTAAGAAGGTATTACTGGATATGAGAAAATACCGAATGGGACTTATTCAGACTCCTGATCAACTAAGGTTTTCATACATGGCTGTAATAGAAGGAGCAAAGTATATAATGGGAGATTCAACTATACAGGTAAATGCTCAGATCTCTGTATTTAAACATCAACAGTAGACTAACAGTAGTTAAGAATGAGCTCCAAACTATTTTAAAACATGTAACTTTGTGATATTTGAATAATTTGCCTTTTTCATTAGGTGCCTAGAGGGTATTAGAGGGCATCTAATCAGCACCTTCTATCAGCTAAACTTCTAGTCCTATGTGTTTGTCTCCTCCTAGATAAAATATAAAGATAACTTGTACTGATG